TTCCGACGAGATCAGAAAAAATAAGAAGCGCCAGGGGAGAGGCTCAGAGCAGAGAGGAGGCCGCAGAAACGATGGATTCCGCTGCTGACACTGAACTGGAGGGGCCTCTGGGCCATCCTAATGGGTGTCTCTCAGGACAGATGAGCCTCAGAGTCTACAGAGAAGTTCATAAAAACCCAATAAGGGCCTTATTTACATCCAGCACTGGGCACCGTCTGGCAGTGTTCCCAGACCGGAGAAGGCACCGTCGGGGACACAGACAAGGGCTGGGCGCCGCTGTAACAGGCCGGCAGCGCCCCGCCGGACCTCAGCCGGAGCACGCGATTGCGGCCGCACCTTCGTCCACGCCGGGTCCCACTCCCAGTTCCGTGATCTGGGGCGAGCCACTGGCCTGTCTGTGCCTCTGTCTCCTCATCTGTGAGGTGGGCTGATCGAGTCACACGCGTGGGAGCACTGTGCACGGAGCCTGGCACGGTGACCGTGCTCACGGCGAGGCCCCAGCGGCTCTTCGAGGACTGAGGCCGGCACTCCCACCGCCTGCGGGGAGCCTCGCCTGCTCGCAGGGACCTTGGAGACTAGAATTGGGTGGCAGTGGACAGGAAGTGGGCTCAGCTGTGGACATCACAGGAGTGGCCACTGTCCACGGGTCCGAGGCTGCCGCCCGGCAGCTGAGCACACAGCCTCCCTCCGGCTGCGCGTCCCTGTCCTACACAGCACGCTGCTTTTGGGGGGGGTAAGAGCGGGGGCATATGTAATACTTTCAACAATAAAACCTTTTTAAAAATAAGTTAAATAATTAAAAAAATAATACGCTGCTTTTGTCCCCAGAAGTACCAGCCACACACCAATGTCCATGTAAGGTGCTGTGTGCCAAACATCACAGAGGACTGTCCGGCCACGGACGGAAAGAAAGCTGGTGCGGCTCCAACTCGGACGGTCTTGGAAAACACCCCCTTCGTGCAGTAAGCCAGACGCGGACAACACGGCGTGAGACTCGCTGGCACGAGGAGCCTAGAAGAGGCTCAATCACAGAGTCAGAGCAGACAGTCGCCGGGCCCGGAGGGGGCGGTTCTCGTTTAGCAGGTTTATGTCGGGTGATGGAAGGTTTGGGGCACAGACCGGAGTGATGGGTACGGGACTGTGAATGTCCTTAAGGCCACTGAGCTGTACTCACAGACGGTGAAAGTAGTAAATAGTATGTGTGTGTGTATATACAGGTGTCCCAAAAACGTATACACACTTTGAATGATTTTTAAGTCAATGTTTATTAACATACAGTTAATTTTCAAAATCTACAAAAATGAATACTTTTTTGGTCAAAGCCTGTTTTCAAACTGATGACCGTTCTGGCCCAGGCACTCCTGATAACACGAAGCAATGGAATCGCAACATCAAGAATCCTTTCGTCCAGTATTCATGTGCCCTCACTTCGACTGCTGCTGGTTTTGTACTGTCAACTTTACCTGTTATGTATCCCCATAAAAAACAGTCTAGTGGCACTTTAGGATAAATTTTCTTTGTTCAAAGCTTAGTCTGGCTTCACCCATTATTTCAAATCAGTTAAACCTCAAAAGGAGTGAAAATGAAGTGTGTTATCAGCTGTTAAAGTGTACGTACATTTTGGGGACACCCTATTATATCTTTAATCCACAGAAGCCATCAAAGCAGTGTGTGGGCAGGTGCAGCCTGTCGCCGATGCAGGGCATGAGCGAGCGGGCCCTGGGGCGGGACGAGCCGCAGTGACGAGCGTGGGGACAGGTCAGCAGGCTGGCTTCCCAGGACCCAGGCATTGCGGACCAGCGCGGAGAGCGGGGCAGGGCCCGGCCCGGAAACGTCACTGCTCTATTCCCCTCTCGCGCCAGTGGCTGTAGGACAGGAAGGCCCCTTCTGTAAGAGCAAACGCCTGTTTGGCTTCTGTAACAACCAATTCTTGCTCCGTCTTCTCTGTGGCCGACAGTGCCCTCGGCAGCTCCGCCCGGTTTGGACATCGGTCCCGGCTCACTCAGCCGAGTGGGCAGAACGAGGGCTGCTCCTGCAGTGGCTCCCCAGCCTGGCGCAGACTCGGGGAAGATAAAGGATCTCCTCACGTGTGCTCAGGCATCGGTGGCTGTGCAGTGAACCAGACTCGCCTGCGGTGTGATCCTGGGCGTGAACTCCTAGAATCATCACCACGGTCCTCCGCAGCCACGGCGACCACTCTGTCCTGGCCTGCACAGCCCACTCCTGCCCAGGACCCTGCACCACTGTTCTCTCTGCCTGGTGGTTCTCTCTCTCTCTCTCTCTCTCTCATTTGCATCTCTAGAGACTCAGATGGCACCGGAGCCCTGAGGCCTGCCCAGCCATCGTATAAAATAGCGCCCGCCCGCTCCGACGCGGTCTGCTCTGCTGAGACTCCCGGGACACTACAGTCGTGCTGCTGTCCCTCCCCGACCTCCACTCCAACCACCAGCACACGAGCTGCACGCAGACAGGGCCTGTTTGGCCTGGAACAGGATCTGCTCATCCAAGAAAGCCAGCACATCCCTGCAGAGAAGAGGCAGCACGCCGGCTCCCACGGCTCCCACGGCTCCCACGGCTGGGAAGGCAGCTGTGACCCTCCGCTCACACGTGGCTCCATCCACAGCAAGTGCCTCCTAGAACCTAAAGTCTGAGCCTCTTTTACAGAAAATAGTTTTGCCGCCACTTATTGTTTGAATGAGGAAATAGGTACGGTGTCCACACTGGGGAGTGTTACTCAGTACAAGCAGCACGAGGCACAGATGGAAGCCCTGACGGCTGAACCTCGGCAACATGGTGCCCGGTGAAAGGAGCCGGACGCCGAGGTCAGGGCTGTCTGAGGCCCTGTGTCTGCAACGTCCAGAACAGGCAGATGCGAGCGACAGGGCACAGGAGTGCGCGCCTGGCGGGCCGGAGGTGCGGGCCGCGGGCAGGTTTCTGTGGCTGACGCAAACGTCCTAGCGGAGCGCTGAAGGCTCACACTGTGTGCGGGAGCCACAGACACCGCCGCGTCTGTGAGATGACAGAGTGCACGCTCTGCGAAGCCTCTTATTAAAGCTGTTACCAAGAAAGGTGGTGGCCAGGGGTCTGTTATAACACCCTTTAGTACACGAGACATAAAACTAGACAGAAACTTCTATGCATACAGGTCTCACACAAATTCATAAATTAAGCTCTAGTTATATAAGCAATCAATTCAAAGGCAGGTGCTCATGCCAGCGAAGATGTCACTTCACGGCTGTGTCACTGCTCACAGCAGGAAACGGCAGCCCTGGCACCGAGTCCTGGAGTCCCGCACCGCACACTCAGGGCGACGCTCAGACCGCTGACAGCCAGGACGGCCAGGTGACAGCAATTCCGAGGAGCTGCTGGAACCAAAATCCGAACCAACGCCAGACACACGCAGCCCACAGCCGCCCGGGGCAGGCGGCACAGCAGCCCTGCCCGCACCCCACGTGCAGCTCCAAAATCCACTTCCTCTCCGGTGGGAATTCACCACAGACGCACCACGAACCCCTTCTTGTCTAGAAAGGGCACCGGCCCCCACACGGCAGGCACACGCTGTGGGCGGGGACGCAGTGGGCAGCTCGGCAGAGGGCCCTGCCCACGGGTGGAACGGGCTGCCTTCCTGGGCCCCTGGGGGAACGGCAAACACACACGTGTGAATTCTGTCGGAGCCCAGGACAGCCAGACCCGCTGTGGGAAACACTGACGTCCGGACGAGGGGCCAGTGACGGCGCCCAAGGCTGTGCCTTTAGCTCCACGCGGACACTGCAGTGTGAGCTGGGAGGCAGGGGCCACGCCTGTGGGAGCCCCACGCAGAAGGGGAGTCTGGCGCCTCTCTTGGCGGCTGCACCCCTGCCCTGCCCCGTCACGGTCCTGTGCCGAGTGCGGACGGGGTCCGAGAGATGGCACTACAGGGCGGGCAGGGCACAGCGCCTGGCACGATGAAAGCGCTGGCACCCCCGTCCTAACCGCTGTGCTCCGGGCACTGCCCACTCCCTGGCCGGGCTGGGGGCCTGTATCCTGTGAGCCCGTAAGCACCCAGCAGCCCAAGTCCTGTCCAGACTGGGCCTCGCGCCGTTCACCAGAAGAGGACAAAGTCAGCAACAGCCCTTTGCCCAGAGCCCAGGCCTGACTCTCAGCAGCTGTGACCTCACCAACACGGCCTCCGGGGGCGGGGGGGGGGGGGGAGGGCGCTGTGCCCGCGGCGACAGGTGGACGGCACACACCGGAGTCCGCGCCGCGGGATGGCCAGTCTACAGCGACTGGACAGCAGGCCGAACAGCTGCTGCCACTTAATTCTCCCTCTAATTTAATGAGCTGCTCACTAAGCCCTGGAAGCAGGTCCCAGGGACGGAGCTCTTGGCGCGCGGCCACGCGGCTGACAGGTGACGGGGAGGTGGGTTCCTCCCAAAGGCAGAGCCCACACCAGGCTGTGTCCACCAACACCCGTTTGCTCCAAAAAGTCACCATGATTCGCCTGCCCAACCCCACCTGCCGCGAAGCGCACAGCCTGTGGGGCTCCGGTTCCTGCGAGAGCCCTGGCAACGCTCCACCGGGCACCTCCTCCTCGCTCCCGCTCAGGGAACATTTCCCAGACTCCAGACCCGCAGGAGGGCGCACACACTTCCAGAGCCTACGGCAACCGACCAAGGACATTTTGTTGAAATCCCATATTTGTTCTTAAAATTCCAAGTAAATCTTATCTTACATGCCCCAGTAAAGGGCTTTATGTGTTCACCGTCCGGAGCTAAGGAACAGCTTCCTATCCAGCTTCCCCTAAAGCCGGGGCGGAAGCAGGACACCCCCCTCTGTCTCGCTCCAGCAGGCCCACCCCCAGGGCAGGTCTCAGCTTGGAAGCAGCAGATCGGGAGACAGGAGGTGGCACCCCCACAGCCCCCCATCATTTCAACCTTGGCCTAACCAAGGTCAACCACCCAACTCAGAACAGCTTCCCTCGGAGGGGGAGAGGGTCCTGGCCCCCTGCACCCAGCGCTCACCCGGATCCGGCGCATGGCAGCCACGATCTCCACTCTGCTGTTGGGCCGCGGCACGTCCAGGCTCCCGACGTACTGTGGGGAGAAGAGGGATGTGAGAACGCATGTGAGTGTCCCGTCACAGCCTGCGAGCGGCGGGCGGCCTGGGGAGGCGACCCAGCTCATCTCCCCATTTCACAAGAGTCAGGGACACCTCGTCCAGCTGTGTGTATAAAAGGCCAACGAACAACTTCCTGCGTCCTATTCACCTGCTCGTCACCGGAGATGCAGCGAGTGTGGGTGTGACTGTGCAGCGCCGGCCAGCTGGCCTTTCTGCGCGCCAACTCCTCAAGGGGAGCCGGGACCCCGTCAAGCACGGCAGTGTCTCCCTCACAGACCTGCCTGCACACATTAAAGCCTCAACAACAAGAAGGAAGGAAGGAAGGGGCGTGTTTTCTTAGTGAATGGCTGATCCCTGAGCGAGCCCCAGGGGACTCCGGGAACACACACACTTGCGGGAAGTAACTGGAGGGAGGAATGGACTAATGTTTTATTAAGATGTTTACCTGATTGTAAGGCTGGTGTTTAATATCGGAACAACTCCTCACTGTGCACTATTCAAACAACCCAGGAATGTGTGGAGGAAAAGGACAGAGGCCCCGGCCCAGCCTGCCGCACAGCTCTGTGCTGACGGATGGACGGACACATGCAGGTGCGCAAGGTTCGCTGCGGGAAA